AGGGAGCTATTCGTGTGATTTTCAAAAAAAAATGTGAAAAGTGCCCAAAAAACTATTCTGCTACCTTAACACACATCTCTCACACGCGCTCTCCCACAAAATAACAACACTTCACCTATAATAACAAGTGATATATTACTCATTATTATACCTCATGACCGTAACAGCCAATCAGATTACCGTATTAGAGGTTGACATTTTTGTATGTCTACCTCTTGCCATAATTGTATGTCATGCTCCATCTGGGTACCTTCCTCTTCAATTTACCTGATTTAAGTCAATAACTTGTTAGGGGAACAATATAGGTGGCCTGATTGGTTTGCCAGGTTTACGTTCACTATTTGACTTATCTTATTAGTGAGAAAAACTAGGATTTTGAAGCCATTTCACACGTGTGCAGCTTGTTTCAGTGTTCGTCATGTTATACGAACTGAAATGCAATTTAGTGTAAAGCTGCGCACACAATGGCGTCTTATGTTGATGCAAAAATCAATTCTTTGTCAGGCTGAAGCTGTTGAAATTAGGTTTATCAAAACAACCATGAAAGTAAAAAGGCGTCCATGACAAAACTTAATAGAATTCAATCACTGCTCCTGAACCCTTTCAACTTGTATATTTGTGTTCATACATGCATTCAGATCTACAAGCTGAACTGAAGTTTGCCATGATTGAGTGTTACAATTTCTGTTTTAAGATTGATTTGGTATAATAATACAAATGTACACCCCAACAGCTGTCCACCTCTGTTGGGGTGTACATTTGTATAATAGCATATACATACATGCATTGTTTGCTGAAGAAAAAACTGCAAAATACACAGTAAACATTACTTTTAGTCTAAAAACGTTATTTTCTCACAAGCGTACTACTCAGCTAGAAGCATTCTGGTTGAGCATCGGCATTGCACGCGTAGAACCCTCACAGCATAGTTTCAGTGGCGGCTTGGACTAACATAATTGCTTCATATAAAGAATATCCCAAACATCAAAACAGATTATCCATTATGTTTGCTGTCTATTTTGAATGGCTAAAGTTTCTTTAAAACCTTGAAAGCAACCGAATGCAACAGCAGCCAAGACGTCAGCATTCAGTTTCACTAACATCATCTATGTGATATACCATGTAATATCCACTTAGCAGACAATATATTCATTTTTACCTTGCCTGTATCATCAAAGATGGAATGGAAAGGTATACATGTATTAAGGGAAAAATGTCTGTCGTTGTTGTAATTGTGTGCACAATAACTTTACTAATCCTATTCCAAACTTTATCAAACTTATTTATCAGTACAAAATTTTTCCTTAGTATGAACATCAGATGTCCTGTGTGAAAATAGGCGAAAATTTGTTAAAATATTTTGACTGTTTCTACTTGACTGATTACTGGGGATACACATTCAAAGGTTACTGATTCCAGTGGGAATATGTGTTCAATGAAGGAACCAAATCCCATGGGAATATATTTCTGCTCTCACTACTTAAGTGACTTTTGCAAAATTTAATTAAAGGGCGATGTTGTCGCATGAAGTGTTCAAATTCTTTGTGAATATACAATGTATTTTACATACGTTATATTCATCACTCTGAGTTCCATATCATCACGGCGTGGCGCAACAACCGCCGCCTTTTAAAGCTTTTAAATTATGGAATATTGTGGTAGTGAACATTTTAGCGGTGCAAATGTAATGTTTTGTTGTAATTCGTATCAAATATTTATTTATTCCAGTCCCTGGAGAATTGTTGATGACTGTGGTGGTGCTTTTTCCATGGGTGCCATCGGGGGAGGTGTTTTTCACTCTTTTCTCGGTGCCAGAAATGCGCCCGCGGTGAGTGTGTTCTCTTTGACTTAATTTTATAATTGGGTGTTTGTCTTTATTCATGAATGCTGTAATCATGCTCTTGCACAACATTGTGTGTGTTTCTTTTGAGCAGTCATGTATTTGATCTCGGTAAAACACCGGTCTGATTTAAATGTGATTGAAAAACCAGTGTTGGGATAGCATTTAACCTTTTCACCAAGACTTCTCACCCAAACGTTCTGCAATTTTTTCTCATATTCTTCAATATTTCTGGAAATGAACAATAATTTATGAGCCAACAGATAAAATATGATTCAATTTTCAGTTTTTATTTAAAAAATTTTGCTGTTTTTGTCCCAATCTTCTGCAGACTATAAACAAGACTATTTTGTGAATTTGCGATGAAAAGAGAAAATTGGTGGTGAAAATGTTAATACAGCAATGATGAGATGGCTGAATAGGTACTGCCATAGTAGTAGGTAGTAAGGAAGTGATAGCCAAATATATTGCACTTTGGCTGACAAAGATGTATAGAAAATATTCTGTTTAACCAGACTATCGTTAATTGTACTCTCATTGTTGTAGGGTATGAGGCATAGACTTATGGGAAGTTTTCTAACAGTAAAAAACAAAGCACCAATTGTAGGTGGTAAGTAAATTAAAAAAAATTATTTTTCATTTTCACTGTATTTGTGTCAAATGTGACATTTATGTGATCATGTCTTGTGACAGTGCATTGTGTATGTTGTGTTTATTGTACCTATCTTGTTAAAAGTATCAGCTAGGCTCAAATAAGTGCTAGTTCATGACAAAATTAAACAATTCTCTCTCCCTCGCCATCATTCGTTTCATCTGTTGCCTGATGACCATTAGCTGTTTACAACTGCAAACAGTGAGTATTGTAAAATTTGTATTAAGAGCTGCGGTACAATGCAACAGAAGGTATGCAGCTTCTATTAGAGCATCTACGCATATGAGAAATAGTGAATTTTTGGGTCTCAATTGTTCAAAAAAAATGGGTGGGCTTCTATTAGGGATGCAGCTTCTAATACAGATTTTACGGTACATATACATATATATTCCCTCGAATTTGTCTTTTTTTTTCTCTATTGTTTATTTCATCAAACTTCATTCACTTCAGGTAATTTTGCAGTTTGGGGCGGTTTGTTTTCAACGTTTGATTGCTGTTTAGTGAAAATTAGAAAAAAAGAAGATCCATGGAATTCTATAACCAGTGGGGCATTAACGGGAGCAGTGCTAGCAGCCAGAAGTGAGTTCTATGTCTTGTAGTTTAGTATCTGGTATTGCTAATTCGTTTTTTCACTTTTTTCTCGTATTTTTTTAATATTTCTGGAAATGAACCCTAATTTTGGAGCCAACAGACAAAATTTGAGTGAATTTTCAATTTTTACTCGAAAAATTTGGCTATATTTGTCCCAATCTTCTGAAGGAAAGTGCAGACTATAAAACGGGACTATTTTGTGATGAAAAGAGGGAATTGGTGGTGAAAAGGTTAAGACAAAATCAGAAACAGATAGTTATATGCTTTTGTTTGGCTCGAAATCTCAGACACCCTTGGACTACCGGGTAATTGTCTTCAAACCTCACACATACTTAATGCCTCTTCTGATACCTATGCACATGTGGTAATTTTGTGATTCAGTCACAAATGGCAGAAAAATAAGAATCAGACGTATGTTCTCAGTTTTAAATTAGCATATACGTCATACGGTGGGTGGAGCAGCCTAGCCACGGACCATAACAATGAAACTGACATCATCGACCTCAGTTCATATTTTAATTAGCCTGTCTTCTGATTGGTTGAAAAAAATTAGACCTGTCAATCATTACAAGCCCCAATCTGGTCGGTAATGTGAGGCCACTTACACTGTTGGCAAGTCTATTGGGATTTCCCGCTTACAGGACTTTCACGTTCACCCCTCGTTAAAGCAATTTATATTTATTTTTCAAGAATTTTGTATCATCCCAACAAACTGCAAGCAAGTCTATCTTCGCTGTTATTGTTAATTCTTGACTCTGTTTATATCTCCAGATGGGGCGCTTGCAATGGTGGGATCAGCAGCTGTGGGTAGGTTTGTTTTTTGTAAACTCTCTGCCTGTATTTTAAATGAAGTAATGTCTATTACAAAACTGTTTTTTTTTACAATTCCGACAACAAAAAATCTAAAACCATTTGTGACATGCACATTCATAAATTTGAATATATTTGTTATGGCCAAATGTACAGTTATGATATTCACAAGATTCAATCGTCAAAAGATTCTTCACCACAGCCGAACATTTCCAAATATTTTAGTTTGTCATTTTCAGCATCTTCTGGCAAGTCACTGAATTACATATGGAATTTTCTGATCACCAGTCAGAAGATAGCATGCTCTTTTCAACTCAATTATCTTTGAAATCCCATTTTTGTTCTCCAGCAAAATTTGGTGACTTGATATAAATTTTCATACTTGTTTTATTTTTTGATTTCTTTTCAGGAGGTGTATTACTTGCAATGATTGAAGGTGTAGGCATCATATTTTCAAGGTGGACTTCCAGTCAATACATGGAAGGTAAAGTCAATTTTCCAGATGAGATTTTCTTGCCATGATATTCTCTTAACTTCTTAAGACTCCACTGTGAAACTAGACATGTCAGTAACTCTGGGCTGAGTGTTGAGTATGTATTGAACTACCAGTATTCATTTAAGTTTTGTTGCAATTTCGAAGTTGAATTAAAGATTATATGTAATCATTCTTTAATTATTGTGAGTTCATGCCATTGGAATATCAAAAATAAGGCACCAAATTTTTCAAGAAAATGTGTCTGAAATGTCATTGTCAAATTGTTTCCATGGTGATATTTATTTTTGATATTTCAGAATATTGCTCAGTGACAAAGTTTGATATTAATTAATATCAATATTTCATTTCGCAAGTTTTCATGATATATTTATAGCTTTCAATTAAACATGTATGCAATTGGTAATTCTCTCCCATAATGCATTGCATAAATGACTTGTGCAGTAACATTTTATGTAGTTGAAAATTTGAATCCAGAAAACAATATTTGCATATGTCATGTGACCCATGTTGAACTCAAGACGATATGATGACTGCAACATAAACACATCCCTGCCAATCTGATTGAGATGAGACCGAATTGGGATTTTTTATTTTAATCATTATGTTGTGTGATTTATTATTTTTTTCAATTATTTTCCTAATTTTGTATAATTTTCTGATCACGAAAGCCCAAAGATCTGAACAACCAGTTTACCTCTATGGCAAATCTTGTTCAACTCTCTTAAACTTCAGTAACCAATCAGAAAAGGTTCTATCTTCAGCAATGGTTGGACTTGGAGGCTTGCACATTAACAGCATATTCACTGTATACAAGGCCTCTATTTCTGATTGGGTGACTAATCTTTTTTTGAGATCTCTCGAACAAGATCTTTTGCAGTCAGAAAATAGAACTAGGAAAATCAGAAAAATATGACTTAAATAATGAATAAAAAAGAGAGCAGGAAAGTTCAATAAGTTTAAATCAAATCAATTGCCTGCTGAAAGCTTTCATGGATAGCTGAAATGAGTGGGAATAATTTGCGTCAACAGTGTGTTAATTGCAATATTGTTTTTGTGTATTTAAGAGTTATGAGATCTGTTTGCCTATTTTTTTGCAGCGAATGAACAAATTGCACAACAGATGAAAGACCCATC